TAATAAGAGGGTGACAACGTGACGGAATAATGTGTGTGTGTAGACAGTGAGTAATTGATCTGCAGTCAGAGAGTATTATTGAAGTTGAGCACGTTCGTTGTTATAGCATTTGTTTTAGCGTGATTGTTGAAATTAAGTGTATCGTAAAGTTATATTCGGAAAGAATAAACCAGTTTTATTAAGTAAGGACTTGTGTCGCTAAAGTTTCGTCAGAGCGAAGTTACGGAAAATCAATTAACGACTGGAGGCGTAACAGTACATTTAATTTGACAAAGATTTATCGGGTTCACTTTTAATTTTGATCTGAGTAAGTAACTCGCTCTAATCGGAAGTTAGTATTAATAAAACTATGAAAGGATTACAGCCTTAATACTTATGTTACGTCTCCGTTCGTTAGTTAATTTTCCGTAACTTCGTTCCGACGAAACTTTAGCGACACAAGCCCTTTCTTAAATAAAACTGGTTTAGTCTTTCTGAATATAACTTTGCGATACACTTAATTTCAACAGTAGCGCTATAACAAACGCTATAACAACGAACGTCTCACGTGCTCAGTTCAATAATACTCTCTGACTGCAGTTCAATTACTCATTGCACTGTTGTCCCGTCACGTTGTCAACGTCTTATATATACAAGACTAACACATATCTAGTAAATAAATGCTAGGGCATTCTTGAAGGAACAGGATATTTCTAGAAAGAGGGTGGCGTGATACCAGTCACGTGACCTCGCTGACGCAACACTTATATTGTAAAACACAGACAACGCAACTAAGAAAGTTCAAAAAGATATATTATTTACTTTACTTGAGATGCCGTAAGAATTGTGCAACACTGATGAATACCACGAATCACACGATACACAAGTGTAATGGTTTATACTGCCATAATTATTTGGATTTTTATATTTTTATATTATATATTATTTTTATTACTGTTAGTTATTTTTCTTTTCAGGGATTATATCCTGTGAGAGAACGCTTCAAAATTTCTGAAATGGGGTATAATTGCGATATTCGAGTATTACTAGTGGGAAATATAACTTAAATATTGGAAATCGTAGTATCAGTTAGAGCTTAATCACTAGTTTTTATGAGAATTGTACTTTGGATTATGATCACAGACGTGTAGGGAATAGACAATCGGTAGTTTTAAACTTTTAACACTTCTAGCTATCAACAAATACAGATCACGGTGTCACAACTAGTGCTGCCATCAGTCTGAGAGACTGAGACTAGCTATTAGAAACTAGTATAAAAGCTCATTAATAATGACGGAAATCATTGTTGAATGAAGTATTCGAAGGGTGTTATGATGTTTAACTTAGGTTTGTGATAGTAATACTGATAACCTTTCTTTTTCTTTACTTTTTTAGTTTTTGTCATAAGTTAACTGGTAGTGGAATTCTTATATAGACTTGTTTTGATGTAAAATTCCTCGCAATAGTATAATATTACTGACGTTATTTTTTCTTCTTTATAACGGATTATTAATACTAATAATTAGCCTACTAATCTGTTATTAATATGCTGTTGCTGAGCCTACGCGATCCAGTGACATGCTAGGCCTAGAGTAGGAGTAGTACTAGTAGTATATTTATCATTAGCTTTAGTTCTCAAGTATAATATATCAGTGACATTGATAAATATTTGAATGTAATTAAATGGCTTGCATAAGATAAATACTTTTTTGTAAATTGATCTATAAAAGTTAAAAATGATTAAATTTGGTAAATCAGAATATGTGATAAGTGCAAAATGCAGCATTAATAAGTAATTTGAGACAGAAAACTTCCATAGAATATGCTGTTTTGAAGAATTTCACTTTATTTTAATTTTACTTATTTCAAACCACTCATTGTTATCTAAAATTCTAAGAGAATGTCATAATTGCTCTTAAAAATCATTGCATGGAAAATACTGGGATTGACATAGGTTGAATCATCTGGATATTAATCTCTTGGTGGTAAAAACTTTTTAAAAAAGAAAGATTGAGAGATAAAAAAATAGGTAAAACACCAGGACTAGACTATGTTTTTCTCAGGGATTTAAAGGAGGCCAAAGATAAGATCTACAAGCATCTCTTGCTTGTGGTAGGTCAATAGATAGTGAGCCAGTGCATGAGGATTGGAGTTTTTATGTACCTATTCTATTTTTAAAGAGGGTGATACTGATAAAAGTTGCTCTGAAATGAGTCTGATTAAAAAGTTTTGAAAAATTATCTAGTGAAATATGAGATCATAAAATAAAACATGAATTCACTAAAGGGAAATTTTCTTTTTACTAAACTCAATTTTTCTCAAGGATCTGATATGGATGATGGAAAAGGTGTGAATTTAGTGTGCATATATGTTCAAAAAGCTTTTTGATAATGTGCCACACAAAATATTAACTAAGAAAACCACATTGGTGGAGATTGAGGAAAGACCTGTATATTGGATTATACTTTTTATAGTATAGATGAGTGAGGTAAAGCAAAGAGTTGTTATTAATGGAGTCCAATCAAACTTTTTACTGGTGGAGTGCCTCAGGGCTGGATTAATGCTTTGGCTTATAATTTGTGTTATCTGCATTAATAATACTGATAAAAGCATAATTATTAAGTTAATATAGTTTGCATATAAATTTAACTTGAGCTTTCCAACCTGTATTATAGATGTTGAGACACTACAGAATAACTTGGATCAATTGGTTTTATTAGACAAGTATTTGGCAAATGACCATTGATTAAAGTAAATACAAGATAATTGATAATAATTTGGATAACATGTTTAATATAGATGGGAACCTATTCACTATCATGACAGAAGAAAAGGATCCTGCAATACTAGTGGATAAAAAACAAAAAACTACCATCTTGACATTTCCGGTATTGTCAAATGTAGTCTTATGAAAATCTTATCTTGTAAGATGAGGAAAGATCATTATTTTCATCAAATTGAAGCTCAGCCAGAACATTTGTAACTGTAAGCAATGGATGAAACCTGTGACATTTTAAGCAGTGAATTCAGTGTTATTGATGGTTTGAACAAAATATCTGTAAATGACAATATAAAGACTGTATGCATGTTAAAAGCTCCAAATTCATCAGATGGAAATACAGTTTTGAATTGCAATCCTGTGAATGAAAAGTTGGGTGAGTTAATTTGAATTCTAAATATTATTTACTGAGACTGAGAGTGATATCGCATACTGTTGAAAAGTGATGTTCATATAATGCTATGAAACCAACAAAAATAATAATGAAAAATATGACAATATGTGAAAATAGTTATTGACAGGTGTCCTTCAGTTTTTAGTTGACTATACTGAACTAGTTTATTTGTTAACATTAGTAATATCATTCACAAATGTATGTAGTATTTAAACATGTGATATTGTTCTTTATTAAACCAGTATTTGAAGTAATAAATGATGCTGGCAAAATGCTTTGAGTAACAAGACATTTTTACCTTCTTAAATCTGTTATACATCTATTACTGGTGATTTTAGCTAGTTTTAAAAAATAATCTTATGAGTTCCGTGTAAACTTTCTATTTGGCATATTACTATTTTTCGGGAATCTTTATGTCTTAAGATGTTACATGGTTGAAAAGTGATTTATGTGCAAAAAATGCTTTATTATTTTATAACTTGGAAAGGCATGTTTAAAGGACGTATTGCACTGTGTTACTTTGAAAATACTTTATTATAATTCTTAAGTGGATTTATTAAAAACAGAAGGTTAAAAATCATTGTTTCATTCGAGTGATGGTAAGTGAAGTATCAATGACAGTAGATGTTATGTAAATATTTATGTTATGCTTAGTAGTTAACACAACATTAAGTATTCTCATAGCTTTGTAACAGAAACAAGGTGAAGTTGACAAAAAAGATCTGGACATGGCTATTACAAATTCTGTGTAGACCTCTTGACAATATGCTAGCTAATAATAAATCAAATGGGATTTTAAGTTGTGTTGATGGAAATATTGAGTGAAAGACAAACGAGGTCATCAGTTCACTTTATGAGGTACTGATTAGAGATAAAGTGAAATATTGTGCTCCTCTTTAGTTACCGTGTTTTATGAAGAAACGATTTTAAGTTGTTGGATTAAAGCATACAGATGCCATTTATAAAGATTTACCAACGATAAGACTAGGGTATTCAAGGTTAACATATGGAAATCAAATAACATTACTTTTCAAATACAGTATTTCACTTATGAAATAATTTGCATTCAGATGTGGTAGAAACTACAACATTAAAGGAATTTTAATGGAGATTGGATGATTATTTTAAAGAGTAGAGTTCGATATAAGAAGAGGGGTTTGTTTTTGGTGTAATAGATAAAAAAAAAAAAAGAGAAGAAAAATCAAGGATAAATCATTAATACCATCAGTTTGATAAGATTAAATTGACAGATAGAAGGTCAGAACTTTTGGAAAGTTAGTAATTTTGTTAAAAAATAAATGAAAATTAGGAAATTTAAAAGGCTTATAAGAAACAGCTAGGTGATAATGGCAAATATATTTTAAGTACATTAAAGGTAAGCAAAATGTTATATTTGACCATTAAAGGATGCTGGTGGCATAACTGTTGTTGAAGATTATGAGATGGCTGAGCTTCTAATATGATTTTCTCTATTTTTACAAGAGAAGATATTAGCAATGTGCCTGATCATGAGCATTCTGTTGACAATATTGGGACTGACATGAATCATGTAAATATTAATCCCTTGGTATTAAGTAGAAAGACTGAGAGATTACAAGTAGATAAAACACCAAGGCCAGACAAGATTTTCCCTAGCATTTTAACCCTATCTCGACAGGTCTCGTGTCAAAGGCCATTGCATTTGTTGACTCGCATTCAAAATTTTATTGAACTACTATTTTATGAATCTGTTGATAAGTTTGGTATCAAATTGTAGATTGTAATTTAAATTTTAGTGTTATACATTAGTAACTTTCTTCATTTAAAAGTAAATATTAAAAACACAGCTAAACGTTGATTTTTATGTGTCACGTGGTATGTTGAATGCAGCGCTGGTTCAAATTAGATGTTTGTGATCTAAAAATACAAAATGTACAGTTTCTTACGGATTAGGAACTCAAACTATCGATATTGACAAGCTAGAACATAAAATAAGAACGTCTTATCTTTTCTATTTCCTAAGTTATCGCTCCTGTACTGAATCAAACACAGTGGCCCCTCTGCCCACTTCTTTCCATTTTTGGAAATGGTCCCTTGTATAAACTTACTTCTATATATGAGATGAATAACCACTCAAAAGTTCAGAATGTTCCACTAGTGGTTTTTCGGCCATTTTGATGTGTTATTGTGCTAATTTAATTCTTTTCACACAAGATTTTAAGTGATGAGGTAAGTCTTTAGTGAGCTCAAAATTTAATATTTTTTTAAATCCAAATACAGTTTAATTACTACACTTGATAAATTTCATAAGGTTTAGCAACCTACGACAAGCGGCAAACAAGTAAAAAGGTCTTAACTAGAAGATATAATTGTTTGCTTTACTTTATTTAATGATCTATGTTTTCAGAAAAATAAGTTTAAGAGCTTTTTTGTAAATAGAAATAATGTATAATAGTTGAAATGTGACTGTATTTTACAAAATACTAGTCCACTAAAACACATCCAAGACAGGTTACTTTGTAAAGACTAAAGGTCATTTATATATTACTGGATATGGTAACACGAGTGCACGTGTGCCACATCTTTGTAACTTCTGTATTATTAGCCAGGCATGGTTGGAAGGCCAATATAACATAAATAATAAATGTATAACGTTATGAGATTTAAGCTAGTTAGACTAGAAATTTGTGTTTTCATGTCATAATTTGTAGTCATTCTAGAACGAAAAAAAGCATAATTTATATTTTTTTCCTAATTTTTTATTGAGGTTACGAAATTGGTCATATCGAACCAATCCGTATGGAAATACACTAGTGAAAATAACAAATAAAATATAAGTTTTTAAACAAAAAAATTTTATAATTATCTGGAGATTATAAAGATTTCACATGTGAAATTTGAAAATGTTCTAATGCATTAAAGTATTTTTAATCTTAAAATCAAAATTGCTTTGCATGTTTGATTAAAATATCTTAATACTTAATTTAAAAACCTGATATTTTATGTATGAAAACTTGTACTGTTTACCAGTAACCTGCAAAATTTTGAAAGATGTGCTTACATTATGAAAAATCATAGTATAATTACTCTCATTGATACTTTCGTGGTTACGAGCTAGGTGGATTCCACCCAGCCCACAATGGAAGGGTTAAGAGATCAAAGTTTTGAGATGTCTCTTATAGTTTGGTAGGTCAATAGAGAACAGAAAGTTTATGTTACTCCTATTTTTTAAGAAGTGATAAAAAAAAAATTATCCTGGAACTTGTAGGAGCAATTCTTGATTCTGTATTGGGGGGAAAAAAATTAGTTAATTGAATTCTAAGGTGGTTGTATGGGAGAAAGCTAAATGCTGCTGTTAACAGAATTCAGTCAAGCTTTACCATTGTTACTAGTTGAGTACCTTAAGGATCATTGTTTCTGCAAAATTACAACATTGTTAGTACAATTTGAAGAGCCCCTTGATTTAATATAACCTGCAAATATTTCAAATTTACTAGGTATTCAATTATCAGTTGTTAATATGATAAATGTCATTAGCCCTAGCACAGATACCTGAAACACACTATGTGTAACATTATTATTCTGTAATATTGCCTCATAACCTTTTGCTTTCTATCATTTTTAATTTGGATTTGGTGTAATTGATCTTTTAAAACACTTTTTGATAAGTTCAAATTCGATGACGAGGAACCCACTTTGAGACTAATAACAGCTGGAGACGGCTTGAATGGGTAATGAAGAAAAACTTTAATATAAGTTTAACATAACAGCAAATGTACAACGTTTCAACTAGGTTTTGTCAACATCAGCTTTTTGATAAGGTTTCACATAAAAGGACTTAGAAAAATTGCATCTGTTGGGGCAAGAGATAAATTTGTCAAAAGAAGTCTGGATGGTCAAAGAAAATTACCTTCCTTTTTTAAATTCATATTGAATATCTGTGATAAAATGAAACTTGTCTAAATTCTTATAGCCCCCCCATTGGCACAGCAGTATGTCTGTGGACTTGTACCACTAGAAACCGGGTTTCAGTACCTGTGGTGGGCAGAGCACAGATAGCCCTTTGCGTAGCTTTGTGCTTAATAATAAGTAACTAAATTCTTATATTGAATTTCTGTCATGTAGACTAGCAACTCCCTAACTACTTAAGTAAACCAACTTGCTTGTAATTACTTGGATAACGTCAATCCCTCTCTTAAAAACCTAAAATAATAATATTTCACCACTTTTAATGGATCTGTTAAGAATTAAGGTTAATGACTCGTAATCCAGCATTCTTCTCTTTTGTTTCCTTCATTATTTTAGGCTCAGTTGCATTATACTCCATCATTTTTTTTCAACATTGAATATTACTAGCTTTGTCTTAAACCTAACTTTATTCAAACGCATCATATAATCTTTTGGAAGGAGATACACTTGTGTAATTAACCCTGATTAAACAGTGCTAACATTTTCAACCATTTCTCGTGTGGCTTTTTCAATTTCCTAATATTCTTTTTAACCAGTCATATAGTATTTTTATAGGCTTCAAAATCTGTTCTAGCAGTCTATTTGAATTTTCTAAATTTATAACATTTATCCTTAATTTTCCATTTGGTTTACTTGTAAGTCACTTGAATTTCATATAGGCATGTGGCCCTTTTTTCTTAACCTGAACATTCTTGCTTTGTTTTTTTAGTAGTTTGTCCCTAAAGGCTTACCACTTCAGATAAACATCCCGGTCAACACCTTGTTCCAATTTACCTGATATAGTTTCTTTCTTATAGCATTGAAGTTAGCTTTTCTCAAGATCTGAAACTAATATCTTTAACCTTTATCTTAACATACTGTAGAACCTCATGCCTAATTTTACAATGGCTTCTATCTGTTCCTCCACATTCTCAATGAAATTATCATTAGTGGTTAATATTAAATCTAAAATGCCATTATACCTTGTTATTTTCCCAACTACTTGATGAATAAAGTTATCCTGTACTAATAAGAAATAAGTTTCAAGGTCATTTTCATAAAAAGTAAAGTTAACAATTAATTATTCACCATTGTTCACCTCACAGTATCTGTCTTAATTACACTCAAACAAGCATAAGTTAAATAAAATATTGAATAAAGCTACACATGCACAATACTTTTAGAAAAAAATGCAAAGATATTCAGGGATGCTTAATATTAAGAACTGGTTTTAATTATGAGAAACAGTTTGTGATTTTTATCTGTGAAAAGAAAACTTGCCCTCATGCAAAATCAAAAAGCTTGTCATGGAACTGTAGAAAGTTGGAGAGCTAAGAAAACCATTTTATAAAATTGTATATGCTTTGTAAATTATAGTTTTTCAGTACATCTGTCTGTTCAACTTGTAACTTTCTTTACTCAGTCCTTCTGTTATGAATAGAAATAGTTTTAGCAGTCAGACTTCTAATCATCATAAATTTGCACATTGCCAGATACTTTTAAAAAAATTACTACTCAAGTCTTCCAACTCTCTACTCAGTTATTTGCATGTATGTAAATTTTTTTTTCCAGTTCATATATATTTCACAAAGAGAAAGTTCAAAAGCACAAAATCTGATGGTATAATCTGAAACTAATTGAACTTCTTTAAAATATGAATTTAGAAAAAGACAAAGAATCCAAAGCTGAAAGTGTATGCTCAGACGACAGTGAAGGATTAATTGATGCAGAACTAGGACTTTCAGAAGACCATTTTTCCCGTCCAGAGGTAAATAACATTCATTCTTTTCTCATATAAATGTGGGTCATTGTGTACATCTTTGTTTTGCTTAATGCTTTGTAAGTAAAATTTGTTAAGGATTTTGTATTAGAAATGTTTTGATTGTGTATTTTAATTCAATGATTTTGTAGCATTTTATAAGTTCTTAATTTAGAGTGTGACAGTTCACCTTAAAAACTGGTCTTCATTTATTATCCTGATGCTTTTAAGTGCTATCCTATACACTTAAAGTATTACTGTACCAGTTAATTTCTTTATTAAATTTGATGAATGTCTCCAGTTTTCTTTGTGAAGTGTGTCATACATTTTATATTAGAACATAATTTTAGATTGCATGTAATATATATATATATATAATCATTGAAATAATTTAGGCAGTGTGTTGCAAGTACTACTGTTGATATAGTTCAGTTGATATTCTATCATTAGAAATTAATTTTGTATTTTTGTCTTTAGAGCACAATGCTACTTAATTCATGGATGAAGTGTAAAGTACACTATATCAGAAACAAACAAATTGGCATCATCATGTAATCAGGTTTATTTATTTTCAAACTGATATTTGTCACATGTAGAATTGCTCTAACCATTTAGTGAAATACCTCCTGGCTACAGAATACTTGCATAATATACAGTAAAATCAGTGATAAAGTACAAACTTGTTACATGGTGAAATATCATTGAACTAGCAGATTGTATGTACAGAAGATTTGAAAATAACAGAGTGTGGCATTGTTTCTTGTAAGAACTTGAACATACTTTAGTATTTGGATTTTGAAGAGAAACTAATTTCCATATAAGAGATGTTTTGTTGCAGAGGTATTCAGTGATAAAATGGTTTTATTTTATAATTAAATTTTATATGATGTCACACAGGGCTATTTTGGTTACTCAGCTGTTGAGGAATTAGAAATGGCAATTGAAAACTGTAAGGATATGATTCTGGAATCTTCTGAGAAATCTGAGAAGCGCAAGAAACTAGTAATGAAATTAATTCAACTACGCATGAAACTTCAAGAAATAAAGGTAGAAGTTACAAGGAAACTGTTTTGAAGCTATGTAGCACCTGCCATATTTATTAGATGTAGTTCTGTATATGAAAGTTTGTGTATTTATTTAGGTTTTTTATGGATG